CCCATCCCTGTCCCCGCCTGTTCAGTCACTGCCCCAGCCGATCCCATCCACTGCCCTCAGCTGTCCCATCACCATGCAGCCTCCAGGGCAAAGGGCTCTTCTCATGGCCAAGTTCCATTAGAGTGTGACCTGAGTAGTGAATGGACACCCGGTACCTTGAGTCTGGGGGCTGAGGGCACAGGTCATTCACCTGCCGGTCACCCCACAGCCCTCAGGCCCTGACAAATGCCCTCTCCTTTCCACAAAATGCCTCACAAAATCATAAGCAGCCACTCATGGCACTGGAAGAAACTCCCTGTTTCTCCTGGCCCATGGTGGAACCCAGCAGATGCCAAAGTTTAACCCTACAGTGCACTCCTGTAACTTCTCCACCTGCCCACCTGATTTATTTTGCTTGGCACAAAGTCTGAGTGTGAGAGACTCCTGGGAGTACAACAGCATGCGAAATATCCAGTGCAGAATAGAAAAATAAGCCATTTACATCATCAGGTATCATTATTTTATTTCAATTTTGCTTCATTTCAAAAACAATTAGGGGACAACATAAACAGCAATAGGAACATCAGTGGCACTGCAGTTTGAGTCTCTAAAGACCAGATCTCRTGTGCCAGGTGCCATACAGGCAGARTCAAACAACTCTCRGCTTCAGCATGAATTTSTCGTAAACATTCATGGCCCCMGTCTCWCTCACTTGAAGTCAGTATTAAAACRACAASTAGATTAAAAGAAATGCAGAAAAGGTAAAATGAATGGGCTTCTAAACATTCCCTCCCTCCCCCAGAAGAACACAGAAAAAGATGAATCAAGCAAGAAGGTGTCTTCTTTCCCTTTTACTGGTGGGAAACCAAGGCAGAAGAAGACWAAATCCCTTGTGCAAAGCTCTTAGTGCAGTCTGTGGCAGCAGAAGGAAACTGTATTTCTCCATTGTCCTAGCTCAGTACTTGAAKTGTTCACTGCCCACCTCTGTCCTCACCTGACCCAGCACAACCGGAATTATCCTGGGAAGTGTGGCTGGAATACTGTMGGAGAGGAGGGATGGAGCACTGGAGCCCCTATGAGCTTGTGAGCTGTTTAAGTCAGTTCTGGTCGCTGTAGTTTACGATTTCCTTAGTCTGCCAAACCAGAACCAGTTCCAGCTCAGCAAAGCAGTCAAAATAATGCTAAAGAATTTAAAGCATTGTAAAAAAAAACCCACAAGATTGATTCTTTAGGAACACAGCAAGTGTCTGATCAGTTCAAGTCCTGCTTCATACTGCAGTCAGGATCAGATGCTGTGCTGCATTGTCCCCTCTGGATATGACATACTACGGACCCCAAAGGGAGGAGGATCTTCTGTCTTGTGAWGTTTGTTAATCATTGTCATAGGGGTTTATTGAAGATGATGCCCAAGGGTCTACCTGCTGCTGGAGTTCTCGGGTGGTGCTCCGGGCTTCAGCAGTCATTCTCCGAAATTTCTGCAGGTAGACAATGATGAAGATAACCAAGACACCCTGGAGGAAAAGGAGGATGAAGAGAGAGATCTGAGAGATGAGAGCCAGGCTGCAGTACCAGTGCTGGCACGTGGAAACAATCTCATCTTCGGTCAGGTAGGCGATGATCCGGCCCTGCAGATGCGCCGGGGAGCTGCATCTCACATCCCGGTACTGGCTCCGGTTCTGCTGCCACTGGAGCCACGAGCGCAAGTAGAGGATGTCACAGGAGCAATCCCAAGGGTTGCCCTGCAGGTAGACTACCTGGAGRCTCCTCAGGTTGTCGAAGAGCCCGTTGGGAATAGAGGTGAGCTTGTTGTGACTGAGGTGGATCATTTCAGCTGAAGGACGGAAAGCAACGGGCAGGTTTTCCACAGTCAGGTCTTTGGAGGAGCAGTCAGTAATGGTGGCGGTGCACTTGCATGGCACAGGGCATGTGGGTGCCACGAGTGGGAGGAAGCCCAGGAGGGACAAGAGAATTCCACTGCTCATTTTCACYTGCAAACACTTCCCTGGTGAGACAGTTCAAGGTGGAGACCAGACAAGCAGGCACCACGTGCTCTAGGACTGACACTACAGCCCAGGTCTTCTGTTGTTTTATTCTGAGGATGAGTTTCTGCAGTTGRGTGAATTTGATGTCCTTCACAGGAGACACGAGAGCTCTGAAAAGAAAAGAGTTAAAAGAGAGCAAATTCTTGGCCTCTCGTTATAGAAGAGGGAATTTTCCTGGTCTTCCAACCCTGGATTCAAGGAGGGATATGAATACATGGCTACTGGAAGGCTTAGCTGCAACCATCAAATACATTTTTAGTCCTCAAAAGTGTACAAGAGCTGCTTGTGTTTTTGGCATTACTGGAGGTGCATTACCASGGTAGCCACAAAAATTTCTGTCAAGGAATCAAACACTAGAATATGAAATTGCTCATGCTTTATCATAGCTCTGGATTACATCTGTAAGCAAAATATTCAACTTTGTGAGAAYGGCAAGAGGAGATTCAGAAATAAATTTCTTATCATGAGTAAAAAGCAGCCTTTTCAGTCTTGAAAAGAAGTGATAAACAATCTTTGGCTGCAGAGAGGGTGCTGACCACTGAAGATGGAGATCAATTAAGTTTTTCATTCTAGACATTGCTCCAGCAGGTGAATAATCATGTTTTGGAGCTGTGACTGTGCTGAGACACAGGTCAACAAGCTGTCTTTATGTTACAGTCTCATGTCACTGCTGAACATGAGCTGCTGTAACTTCTCCAGGAGAAAACCTACACACACCTGCAACAAGGCAGCATTTTTCTGTGCTGTCAGTAAATTAAACAGAAATAAAAAGCAGTAGGTTCCATTGCTGACTTACCAGAGTAGTTCAATCCTTGCTTTCTTGCTGTCTTTACAGCACAAGAGGAAGGTCTCAAGGCAGTCCAGCCAGTGCAGCAGCGTGTGCATAGCTGTGTTCCCGGATAATATCCCTGCAGCTGGCTGCCAAGATAAGGGTCAGGCTCATCCCAGGGACACCTCCCACATGAACCCTTCCTGCAAGCCTGCTGCATGTCACCGGAAGCTGAGGCTTCACTGAGCCAGCCTTCCAAGAAACGGGAGCTGACACTGCTCACAAGAACGCGTTTGCTGGGAGAGATGCTGCCAGTACTGACACCTGTGATTCTTGAGCCCAACAGAAACATCATAAAGTCTCGATTACATAGTACTGAAAATGCACTTCAGACTGAAGGTGATGTTACTAATTTGAACCATACTACCTGAGCACGGTGGCCTTTGGTTTCCCATCTCGTGGGGAAAACTCGGCAGAGTGGTGACACCTGGCAGCTTCTGGGTGCTGACCCTCAGGTTTCCCTTGAAGCAGTGACACCAATCTACTCCTACTTATTAGTAAAAGCCCTGCTGATGGAAACGGACTTCCAGAGAAAGATTCTTCAGACACTTGCAAACTCTCATGATCATTATAGGAATAAAAATAAAACTCTTGGCATTTCACTGTCTACATCAAAATAAACTAGCTGGATTCACGGGAAGGCCAACAGACTGGGAAAGAAGGTGCTCTGAGGAACTGCTCTTTGGGCAGCCAAGTGAGCCTGCAGCTCTTGACAAGTGCAGTGTGTATTACTGAGAAAGRCTGACCACATGCTTTATTCAGAAGCAGCATTACACAAATACTTGAACGGGTAAGTCCAAGGGTCAAAACTACATTTAGGTAGAATCATGTCTTCTCATGGCCATTTCATCTTCACAGACATTTYTCTGCCATCAGCCTGACCAGGCATACACTATACTCCTTAGCCTAAGGCCATCAGAATTAAGTAATGAAACTGTTGCCCCAATAAACTCAACTCTGTTACCTTGTACTGTGGATATCCTAGAGAACAAAAAGGATGAATGCCCTGAATGTGCTCATGTTAAGAGAATTGAGGGTGCCATCAATGGCAGAATGTGTGCCTCACTAAGGGAAATTTTTGATGCTTTAAAGAAAATAATTGAACTTTAAATTTCTACAAAATTGGAGCAGATAATTCCATTTGTTTCATTGTGATGTCCAGGCAGAGTGGAAAAGAAATCTTAGGCTAACAAACTAACCCAGTCTTTCCTGCAGGGCCTGCTATCCACTTGGAAGCAGCTCGACTACCACAGGGTAAGTTTGTTCAGCAAACTTACCTCATCTTATGCATTTGGTGCTATGTTTATTCACAGGCAGGTGTTCAGGGCAGGTGTGGTGTGGAGCTGATCTAGAGCCAGACCCGTTGTGGCTCTGCATGTGGCACAGACTTGGCAGTGCTGCTCTGGCTAYTCACAAACTGCATTTCCTGGGACTGGATCTTGCCCAGCTGCCCATTGCTGATTTAGACACCACCCCCAGGGGAAGCCTGAAGATAGAAGAACCTTCAAGATGATCTTGCTAGCTYCTGGAATAAACAGACCAGAAATTCCATGCAGGAAGCCCTGCCTGGAGCCTGCTCTGAAAGAATTAGATAAAAGGAGAAAAAGGGTAGTTTTGCTCTCTCCTGCCTAYAATGTATCACCAATGCTGCTCAAGGAGGCTGAAAATTAAACAGAAAGAGGTTGGTTTTTTGAATGTATTTATTTCACTGATCAATTCAGGTAGTAAACATTAATAATAATAACAATAATCATTTAATAAAATGGATATGTTTTAAAAGGTTTCGTTTTCTTTGTTCACAATGACAAAATGTTCGAACAGAAATTTACAAAAAAATATAATTATAATAACCCAACAGATGGACAGGAAACAAAGAGCCTAGGAATGGAGCAGGGGGTGAGGAAGATGCATGGCAGGAGCAAGCCAGCATTAAAGCACAGCGGAGTTTGTGAGGAAGAGCAGGGAATGCCATCGCAGAGCACGAGGAGTGGGATCCCCTCCTCAGAGGGGAGGCATGCAAGGAGGCAGCAAGGACTGCACAGGCAGGACCAGCACAGAGGCACACAGGGAGTTCATGCCATGGATCCATCCTGTCAGGCACAGGGGCCAAGATGTACCGACAGCCCCAGCTGCAGCCTGGGACAGCTGTGGGTGGGACACCATCCCTGCAGCCACTCACTCAGCAGGGCAAAGCTTGGCAGAGGCATGGGAATGTGCCAGGGGGTGCAGGGATGGCATGTGAGGCTGCAGAAGGTTGCATGAGGGGAGGTTTAAATTACTTTCCTATTCACACTTCTCACTGCCAGAGCCACATGGCCAAGCTCCGTGTGCTCAGGAGTCTCTCCTCCATTTACTCTGAGAATTGATGTCACAGTACAACACACTCCTTAAATAAAGATGCCACCTTCCAGGCCAGCATCTGAACCCCTGGTGTCCCCCAAAATCAGTCTCTAATCCCTTTCCAAGCMGTCCCCAAACTCTGGCACTCTGGGCAGGGAACCTCCTACACAGAGCCATGGTTTCAGTGGTACAACTAACCTCTCTTTAGAAGCCATCTCTGGTGCCTCACTCCTGTTTTTTCCTAAATGCAACCTGAACCATCTTTGCCAGCTTTCTACAGAGACAGGCTTGTGACTCTTGACCTGATGTAGGAGCCACGTGCACTGAGCTGATGGAGATTTCCCCAAGTGGAGGGACAGGCAGATCCACCCTCAGCAACCCTGCTCTCACCAGCACACAGCACCTCTGTGCACAGCCCAGCATCAAAGCTGTCAGCTGCTCTAYGTCCATGCTAAAGGGAAAAGGTCTCCTTCATTTTCTAGGAACGAATCTGTTTGAAGGAGGAAGATCTCCAGGTGGACAGGACTCGTTTGCAACAGAATATCCTCCTCACCATCAAGATTAGTGTAAGAGAAGAGGGAGCAGGTACTTCAAGATGTTTCCTGTTATGCTAGCACAGACAAAGTTGAGAAATCAGCTGTCCATCTTTCTGAAAAACATGAAGGAAGCTCCTGTTTCAGGCTACTCCACTGCTCAAGTATGTACATCATGCAAAGAAAGGCTATACWTCCTCTCAGGTACCTTGGTCCTGCTTGTCATTGAAGCCAAGCTGAATCCTTCTGCTCTCCAAGGAAGGCACTGCCACTTATGAGCCGAAAAAAGGGGGAGCATGAAAAAGAAAAAACTAAACATTGTTGGACACTGCTCTCGCCCAGCTTGCAGAGTTGTGTCAGAAAGCTTCCATCCTCACTTTGTCCTTCCACACGGTGCCAGGGTCTCTCCTGTGCCCCTACAGCCCATGCTCTGGCTAAGCAGAGGCTCTGCAGTGAATAACTGGAACCAGCCAACCTACTCACCAGCTGGACAAACCCTGACCAGGACTCGAAAGCCCCACAGAGGAATCAGACAAAGAACAGAACCTAGGGCCTGGCTGTTCGTGGCCAACACTGTGCTTCTACCCAGGGAGATCTACTGGGGACAGCCAGAGATGGAGGAGCAGATACAAAAGGGGAAAAGGGACAGAGGAATCAGCCAAGGAGCAGAAGGGCCCAGCCCATGGCAGCACTCCCTGGAGTCAGAGGGAAGAGCCAAGTGTCTCTCCCTCCAACAGCCCTGACTCCTGCAAGCATGGCAGTGTTGCTGGCGAGCCCTGCCCTGTCAGGCACATCACACTCCAGGGATGGCTGGACTCAAGTTAAAAATACTGCAGGAAGCAAGAACAGGACAGGAGCTGCTGCCCAAAGAGTGCTTTTATCTCTGCCCAGCAGACCCACCAGCCTTCCCAGCACTAGGACAGGAAGAGCCTAGGAATAAGGAGGGGGAGAAGGGCGGGGGAGCAAGAGCCAAGCCTGCTGGGCTGTGCTGAGCCCCATGCAGTGACAGTCCTGCACCTGCCCACACAGGCTGCCTGCAGACCCCAGGTACAGCCCTACAGAAACTGCCCCTTCCCCCAGCAGAGGCTCGGAGCCTGCAAAGTGCTCGTGGGACTRCAAAACTCGGGGGTAGGGGACAGGTCTGCAGTTGGGGTTGGATTTCAGCCCTAGGGTTTCTCCCTCCTCTAAAGCAGTCTGGGCCAAGCACTCTGGACACCACAGTGCTTTTCAGAGCAACACTGAAGACACACTGCAGCTGATGAACAGAGCTAAACCATGAAACACCCTCACSCAGCTACTGCAGGGCCTTGGGGTTCCTCTACCAATGGCTCCAGCCTGCTGYGGGAGGAAACCATGGCAGGGAAGGTGCTCACTCCCATCACCTCCTTGCGGGCAAGTCAGCAACTCAACCWCTCTGCCAGACAGACATAACTGAGAGCAGTTTTCTTCTAACCAACCTCGAGACACTCAGTCTCTTGCTGCTCAGTGCAAATATCCTGGAGTTTTCTTGACAGGAAGAACAAAACCAACCAACGAAAGAAAAAACCCATAAAAACCTGGAAAGGATACCAGGCAATCATCAGGACTCCTGAGCAGGTCAGTGCACAGAGAAACCCCCAGCCCCAGCTCTCTGGACCAGCGCTGTCCCCTCAGGCTCACAGGAGGGTATGGCTGCCTTTACAACGTTTGTGCTGGCTCCAGACAAGGGGAACAGGGACRGGGGCACAGCACCTCAGTTGGGAGTAAACACTTACGTGCATTGACACAGATACTCTTTAAGTTTGTACACCAGAGAAACCAGGACTTTAAATACCAGAGCATTCCCAAACAAGAGATTAGTACACAGGAAAGAGGGGTCATTTTCTTTTCTTTTTTTTTTTTTTTAGGAT